CCCCGGGCGCTGCAAAATGGCAGCCCATTGCTCCCCAAGGGGATGGGTTAAATGAGAGTTAATTTTTCCATTGTGAGATTAATAAAGTAAAATTTCTATCCTTTCTATTTCTATAAAAATACCTAAGTTTAGAAGTTAGGAATGCAAGGTACAAAGTTGCAACTTTGTATGAATGGATGGACAAACCGGGAATGTGCTTAACTGCATTCGATTATTGTCATCTGTTAAATATACATTTATTGGAAGAAAACACTACAATAGTCGACTTTGCAATGTTATTTTAAGGTTTTTATTGATTCCTTCTGTATTATATAATAAAACAAATGGTAGTTTTTTTTTCAAGGTATTTATTCACCTTTGCTTTTCATGTTTCAACATCACGTCACCGGGTGACATCAATGCTTTTTTATTTTTATTTTTGCACAACAGCAAACAGGTTAAGCAGAAGAAGGATGTATACTGCACTTTTCAAAATACAAAACCAGCAGCACAAACAAATAGAGGTAGTTTTTAAAGAAATGAAATAACAGCAAACAAAATGCACATTTCTGAGCAGTTAAGGATCATTGTGAAAATTGGCAACTTGATTGCACATCATCAAAAATGTATTGAGATATATTTGTAAATATAATCCCAACACCTCTCACAAATTCCTCTTAAAGTTAAACATAAAACGGATTTTACTGTTAGAGAGACTAATTTTTTTGAGTTTACTTTGTAATTTTTTCAGGGTTATGTATTACCTTGGAAATACCTAAAGCCTCAATCTTTGCCATCACAGTTTTGGAGGCGATCATTAAAAATTAAAATGCCGATATTAAAGCAAGGATGCAGAGTGTTGAAGCAAATACTGTTTAGATCTAAGATGTTTATTTTCAACATTTTGGATGCAAATCCTGGTCAAAGATCAATTCAGCATAAAAACAAACAGTGGGATAATTTGTAAAAACATCAGTGTACTTTGTCATTCTTCATTCATTCTACACAAACGTACAGCTTTAACTAAACATCTTCATTTGATTTCATTGAAGAAGTTTGGTGCAAATAGTGTGAGATATTTATTATTTTTACAATCCAAGTCACCATTTCAAGCTGCCGCTAGTAGCTTGAACTCACTGAGTTTTGTCACTGTGCTTTTGTCCGAGAGGCATTATAAGTCTTATTATCTTATTTCCACACACAAGCAGAAATAATTCCAGATCACTACTAAATTGCTTTAAGTTAGACTAATGAAAGAATTGTTTCCATAATTTTTCGTAAAGACATTAAATCAAGGGCGTAGGTTTGATTTGAACTTTGGTAGGGACACTATTGGTCTGGTGTCATTGGTGCTATGCAACATGCCCTTTTTTATGCTCGATGTGAGCATCCGTACTGATAAGAGGAATTCATTGTTAAAAGAGAAAAACAACATTTTGCTCCATTAATAAAAATGTTATAAGCTCTACACTCATTAGATGCTGTTTATCAATGTTGAAGTATCACCGGCTCTGATGAATGTGGAATTAGGACTGTTTTCCACTTTGAAAACGGTTTCATTTGAACGACTAAGAGAGAAGATAAATACAGTATTTTCTTTTGAAGATATAGAATTGTGCAGAGTTAAACCCCACTCTAATATTTGTACCTACTATTCTCTCTCTATATCAGGCAAAATAATACATTCATTAAAATATTAACTTCACTATAAAAGTTGAACATCTGGGCTGTAATTACTCTGTGTAGCGATATTTCATGTATTTCATCTGGGGCTGAAAAAAATGAATCATATTAATTGATTATTTCAATAATCGTCAACTAATTTAGTGAGTGATTCATCATTAACTGGAGTATAGAGACTTTAAAACATACAGTAATATAAATGAAAAATGTGCCTTTCCCCACAGAGCAACCCACTTAGATCAGTTATTATATCAAAATTGTAAAAATAAAAACAAACAATGAAAACAGTAATATCAACTAAATATCGGTAAAAAGGAAACCCTCAAATTTTCTTTTTTAGTTGGCTGTGGCTAAGAATCAGAAATGTTGATGGCTTACAGCCTTTATTTGCCCATTTTTCCAGCAGTTTTCAGAACTCCTGGCTAACTCAGAATATTTCGTTTTATAAAAGAAAAAAAAAGTTTTTGTTTTTTAGTGTACATGATATTCATTTTTTTTATTGGGACTAGTTTTGTAGCCTAATATTAATTGTATTAAACGCTGCATTCTAGTGTGAATAAATTTTCAATGTTGTGCTCCAAGCACACGCGCAGCACAGTTCCATGCGCTGCTACATGAAAGGGACAGGAGAGACCAGGCAGAGGAGCTGCAAGAGGAAAAGAAGCCACTGCTGCAACAACTACTGCTGTAAATTATAAACATGTTGCTCACATCCAATTATTGGTCGGGACAATTAGGTCGGTTCAGAATTTTGGTAGGGACATGTCCCTATGGTCCCTATGCAAACCTACGCCCATGCATTAAATATATCCTGTAAAATAAATATAATAAAACGCATATCATTTGAGAATAATTCTTAAAATATAAGGAGTAACCTAGTTATATTAATTGAATATTGTAAAAAAAAAATGTTCCTAGACAATACTATAATTCTATTAATGAAATCATAATTTAGAGGAGTGTTGAGCGTTGAACTTTTTGATTTGACTGTTATATACTTACACTGACAATGGCAAATCGCCGGTGTAAATACATGCACCAAGCAATAGAGCAAAAAAACCTCAATTGATGCCCAGTGACCAACATGTGATTAAATTCTTTTTAGCTGTCATCTTGTTATCTTGCCATTCAAATTATATATTTATATGAATACAATGAAAACAAACATAAAACCCTGGACGACCAAGATTGCATGTGCAATGGAAAACAGGTTCAAACTCTGGGCATACCAAGACTTTGCTTGTGCTACTGGAACCAACAAACTTTCTCAAACTCTGTCGACAGAGGAGAGGAGAAATGATGTTCTCTGTCCATGTGAAATGAAAAAAGTTATCAAAATCTACTGCCTCTAAAATTATTTAGAAGCAAAATCATGGTAATAGCCTCTGGTATCTAGATTATTTGAATTTTCTCAACATATAACTTAAGCAATGTCAGTCAGAAACTTGAGTAAAAAAAAAACCTTACGCTAGATGCATAAAAACCCTTTTTTAACTAATGGAGAATCTGTGGGGGGGTTTTTGTGTTTCAGTGGGCTTGGAAAAAAAACTGTAGGTTTTCCAATGAAAGTTCTCCATAAAAAGACAGTAAAAGACAAAACAGAAGACATTTTTTTCTCTTAGGAATGGCCATTATTTCTATAGTATACATTAATTAAAAAGAAAATAAGGTGTAAATAGCTGCGGCAGAATGAGCATTTTAAGTATAATAGGTGCTAATAATGGTGCTAAGATAGCTACATACAAAGGTTTTTATTTCATCATATAGTTTAATAAGCCATGATACTTCTGAATTCCATGGAAAAGAATTTCAGCCCTCTGCAGAATATCAGCACATTCATACTCGTCTGTACTGGAGTAAGTTACATAAATGATGAATTCTGTTCCAAATAGGTACCACTTAAAAGGATAATTGTTATTAAAAGTAGGAATAGACACCCACACCGCTAAATTGCATCCTGCACTGCTGCACAGCACACCACAGAAACGTTGCCGGGTGACACCACAATAGTTGCCCAAAAGAGGTCCATCCGGATTCAAGAAGAATCCAGTGTGGCATCAAATTTTCCCCAAAAATAACATTGGTAAATAGATACCTCTCATTTTGATTTCTGACAGTCCAAATTTTTTAACTTGCTCATGGAGTATTTTATCTCTCTCTTGTCTGTCATTGTACCTTTGCTTTCTTCTTGCAACGATTACAGACATTTTTGTGTGATTTTGCATCCGACCCTCAGACGTACTAAATATAGATGCAGAAACTGCAGCCGTAATCTCTTTTAAGTTTGATGAACTGTATTGTGGGTGATAAGGACTTACATATCATCCTCCAAGTATTTTGCTCATTCTGATGATCTGCATATCTCCTGCCTATTATTGATTGCAAATAAGTACGATTTATTCGGCCAGCTGTTTTGTTCATTTTGGAAATGGAAATTCATGTGCACCTAGTTAGTGGATGAGCTATGTGCAGGTTATCAACTTTTAATGTGTTTTTTTTTACATGCAAATCCTTAAAAGCTTATCCTTTTATTAGGTTGATAAATAATCAGCATTATTTTGAACTTTCAATAGCCAAAACTCAAAAGATAAAGAAAAACTTAGTAATAATAGCAATAAAAACAGATTAGGATGTTGCATTTAATTTGAAATAAAGTTTCCTCACGATTGTGATTATAGAGGAAAGATTTTTCATTGTTTTATTTGATAAATTATTCTATTTTGGGGTATTACCTAAAGAATCACAGAGGAGGAAAAAGTATCCAGTTTTAAACCGAAGTTTTTACTTTTATACTACTTAAAATATAAAAGAAAAAGTAATGCAGGAAAAAAATCTTAAGGTTTTTTTTTAACACTATTAAAGGAACATTTCATTTTCTTAGCTTTATCAGTAATGGCAACAGTGTCAAATTTAACTTTGCAGCATCTTGAAAAACTATTTATTTTATTATGTGGTTTAAAACAAGTTGGTGCAGTACTAGGGCTGCACTGACAATTATTATGCAAACTGATAATCTGTCAATTATTTTTTTATTAATCAATTAAAAATCAGACGGCAAAAGGCTCCTTAAAGAAGACTTTTTGTGAAATTAAACCAGGTAGAACTAAAACTTTTCCACTTGAAGAGTTCTTGATAGAGCATACTGACAGACAAGAAAGATTTTTATGTTAAGTGCAAAATGTTTACATATTTTATTTTTACAATTTTGGTATAATTACTGCTCTAAGTGGGTCGCTCTATCAGCTAAAGGCACGTTTTAAAGTCTCTACACTCCAGTTAACAATGAATCGATTACTAAATTAGTTGACGATTATTTCAATAATCAATTAATCCCGAGATAAATTGTTTCAGCCCCATGCAGTACCAAGTTCAACCACAAAGAATTTAATTGTATGGATTGAAATAATTATTTCGATATATATTTTTTCTAACTACCAACAAGCAATGAGGAATATAAGCTTAAATAAAACAAAACTAATGCCTTTATTTTTTTAAATTGAAGGAGTAGTTACTCCAATATAGTATAGATAGACACATTTTCTACTTAAGTAAGATAACAAAGTATTTGTACTTTGTTACTCTGATGATATTGCAACAAATCATGTTAAATAATTTTTCCCTTGATAATTGTTCTTAACTTCACTGAAACTTGTTATTGGACACAAGGTTAACTGCCAGCCTACTACCTGCAGTAGACAGCTCTTGAGTGTACTTCATTTAGTTCAATTTCCCATTATCTGGAGCTTGCATAAATATTGTTTTATGAACCTTTAACCCACTTTGTCTCTGTGTGTTTGGTTTTATACTTAAAACAAGTCTTATTGTCTTTGGCTGTGGAGGATGAAGGTGGTGTGACATAAATGATAGTAAATTATTTGCTTCTGTGACATTCAAAACATGTAAAGTACAAGCATGGGATATTAAAGTACTGCAGTGTAACAATCAGAAAAGCCTTTAGTTTTATATCCATTTTCTACATGTAAATCATTATTTGCTTTAGCGTAAATAAACATAACACAGCACCCACATAAACTGCGTTGACATTTTTTAGATTGGATATGTTTTAAGAAGATATAAGCCCGCTTAGAAGATCACAGCTTCTGCAACCAGTTTGTCTGGATTCACACTAACAAAAGAACTGAAAGGGAGTTTTCCACCGCAGGTAAGATATTGACAGCTAAGAACATACTGACAGAACCACACAAATGTAAACCAGTCTTTTCAACTCCAGTTTTTCCTCAAATAATTTATATTTAATAAAAACTAGAAATTATATTATCTTATAATTACATTATATTTGTTGTGATTTTTGTTTAACATTTATCTGAGCCATTATGTGTTCAGTATAGCTTAATTGATAAGGTTCAGCATTTCTTTGCACAAAATACATCCTTTACTGTACAAAAAGTGATATAAACGGATATATAAACTTCATACTTTACACCTAAAGTTTTACACCTGTGAAGCTAGCTTTTTGTGACATTTTCAAAAGATAGACCAAACGGGTTGTCATACGGCAATATGTGATCTTAATAGGTGCCTCCAAAGGAATCTGGGATTGTTTGCAAGCAAAATCTGACACAGTAGAACCTGCTTTTTTTGCAATATATTTAACTACAAGAGTAACAGCTATTTATGAGATGTAAAAACCAAAATGTCTAGCTGTTATTTATTTGATGATCTCATTGTGCGATCCTTCACTACAGGTTTAAATAAATTTTGGTATAATTTAACAGGACAGCAACACCAAGAAAAATTGTAAACTGCATAAGAAAGTGTTTGTTCTGTTATCTTTTAGCTGCCAAATAATGGGATATTTCATGTTTTATTTTTATGTTGTTTGTTTGATTTTTACAGAAAATATCCCTTAACGTCATTATAGCTCAGACATAAAGGACAGCCTCACTCAATAATCAGATCAGGAAGGTCTGTAAAAAGCCTAGGGATGAAAATATACACGATGTTGCCCCAGCAGCTGGTTAAGGGTGTGCACTTTCATGACAGAAACAACAGGACAATGGAATTAATAATGAAACAAATGGTGAAAACAATTCATTAAATCTTCCTTTTAGGCCTAGGAGGATTTCTTCCACGACTTGCAGAGGATCCTCTGGAAGGCACGCCTAAAGTCCCTGTTAAAGATGGTGTAAATGGCTGGGTTAAGGGAGCTGTTGCAGTAACCAATCCAGAAGAAGAACTTAAAAAGCGGATCAGGAATCTTGCATGAGTCTCCACAAACCCCATACAGGCTGTAGCTGAAGAAAAAGGGGAACCAGCACACTACGAAAACCCCCATAACCACAGCCAGGACGAACGTAAACCTCTTTTCTCGTGCCTGGGAGACCTTTTTCCTTGCAAATGAGCTCCGACGACATTTCCTCCTGGAGGCAAAGAGGTCCATTGACTTGTTGCTGACCCCGGAGATGCGGATAGGGAGAGAGCTTTTCTTCTGGATGTCCATGGGGACTCTTTGGGAGTCCCTCCTCTGGGGTTTGTGGCCTTTGCCCTCTGAGGAGGAGCTTTCCTCCAAATCACCCTCCTCAGTCAGTGGACCCATGGTGACTGTGTGTTGGCTGGGTGTAGGAGGACACTGACAGTGGCCGTTCTCCCTCTCCTCGTGGAAAGGTGAAGACTGCTTGCTAAGTCCATTCTCAGTTTGTGTGACCCCATCTGGTTTGGGCTTCTTTCCCGATAGGCTTCTGGTTCTGGTTTTAGCTACCTGGTATATTCTAATATACACTAGGATCATAATTAAGCAGGGCGCAAAAAAAGAAGCCGTGCTGGAGGAGAGGATGTACCAGGTGTCATCATTCAGCTCACACTGGGGTTGTGAGCTGGCGTCCTTGTTGCTGTCAATAGACATGAGCGGAGGGGAGGAGATGAAGGCTGAGATCAGCCACACAATCAGAATGATGCACTTGATGCGCTTCGGAGTGCGCTTTAGATTGTACTCCACAGCCTGCGTAACGGACCAGTACCGGTCCAGGCTGATTGCGCACAGGTGCACGATCGATGATGTGCAGAACAACACGTCCAAAGCTAGATAGATGCCGCACCAAACTTTCCCGAAATACCAGTAGCCCATGAGTTCATTGGCAAGAGAGAAGGGCATCACCAAAGTGGCGACCAGGATGTCCGCGGTGGCCAAGGACACCAGGAACAGGTTCTGGGGGGCTTTTAGCGCCCTGCTCGTTAACACGGCGATGACCACAAGAATATTCCCAACTACGGTGAAAAGAATCAGGAAACTTACGAGAGCAGCGATGCTGGCAATTGCGGCTAGAGAATATCCGCTGTCCAGGCTCCAGGAGGAATTCAGATGGACCACCGTGAAGGCGTCCATTCCGCTGGCGTTAAGGGACTCCATGCTGGCGGGATTCTGGGATAAATTCACCATCCAGCTCCACTGATAACACAGGAGTCCATCAATAACGCTCTCCTTCAGCTAAAACCTGCTGGAGATAATAAGAAAAAAAAAGAAAGAAAAAAATGGATAGGCGCGCATGAATAGATCCAGTCAGGGTGCAAGGTGCAGGCTGGTGATCCGCCTCATTTGAAGATAAGAGACGTACAAAAAATATATTTTTGATGCATTTTTGAAATATTTGTGTCATGATTTCTGCTTGTGAGAAGCAGAGTAGCGTCCAGCCGCATCTCTGACTCCTGCAGCGCGCTGCGCTCTCGCTCCTAATAATGCCCCATGTGTTCTCATAAGAAACTCATCAGCTGCTGCCCCTCCCTCTGCACCGAGCATTAATTGCACATATAGGTATGTCATGAAATAAATAAGAAATATCATTAAATTGCACATATTCACTTTAAAAACGCCCCAAAGTTTTTATTTGGGATTTTACAAAAAAAAGAAAAAAAGCATATTTTGAAATATTAGCACATTTTCTTTATAAAGCAAGTTCCCACTTTTTCTTATAATAAGCATAACCAATCATGGGTGTTGCAGCAGCTCTAGATCTAGATCACAGTTTTTATTGCAAAGTCAGCTGAAGATTCAGAGAAATTTACTCAGGAGGAGGAAATAGTTCCAGAGCTTCCTGTGCGCCAGCTGTTTTAGGGACACTATTAGGGATCAGATGAAGGGAGATCATCGAACTGAGGCAGGCTGCTAGAACCTCTAGGTGTAGGATGAAAGATCAGCCGCTTGTTTTTGTAAATGCAGTAGTGTACTACTTAGAGAATGTGCAGCATCTGGTTTATAGCAGATCAGACCAACGATCACAGCTTTCATCATCTTGTAGCCTCCCTGTCAAGTCATCCAACCGAGTATGAATTATTTATTTAATCGCTTATTTATGTATTCCTTTTCATTTCTTTATCATCTTTATCAATTTATTTACTCTATTATATTTATACTTCTATACCTTTAAAATTTGTTCATATGATTTATTATTGATGCTATTTTGTACGCTACATGTTTTTTGTTTTCGTCAGTGATTTATATTAAATAAAAGTTTTGCTGCAGATAAAGCATTGTCAAGTCAACTTTACATAATCTCACCCAATATAAAGTTCATTTTTTTCTGATATATAGCTCAAAAGTTAAATCATACCGTGAAATTCGTCTAAGGCAGTAACCTCTGGTCTTATAATTCAGTCCGAATCCAGAGGGTGAGGATGGTTCCAGCCGGCCGGCTCCCAGGTTGCCGCACAGAGAGTCCCAGATGCTGAAGATCAGCAGAAGAACGTAGGCAGGATAATCAAGAGGGCGAAGCCAAAGCCAATGTCAGTGACATGCTTGGTTGTCAGATCCAGGAGATCAGAGATCCGAGGAGATGCCGAGGTTAAATCCAGAACAGAGTCGGGTCACAGTTCCAGGTACAGTACACAAACAGGCAGAGGTCCAGCAGGAGTCAGAAGACAGGTCAGGCAAACAGATCAGATGGGAACAGGCAGGCTCAGAGGTTAAGAAGCAGAACAGGTGAGGATCAGGTAATTAGAACACAGAAACGCTAGAATAAATTTCACCAAAGGTTCGAAATAATCAGGCACTGTTGACTGGTCTGAAGGTGGACTAACGCAGGTGGATACTATTGGCAAGTAATGGGAACTGGGCAAACTTAAGCAGGTATGTGAAATGAGTAATTAGACCAGAATCTTTTTTGTCCTTTAAAATAAAACTCTTCACTGTTATTTAAAAGAAATAGTTTAAGTTTTTTACAATTTCTCATTTTCATCATGCAGTCATGTAGACAGAGGTATAGCTGGTTGCATGTTCTTGAATAACTTCTTGACTAAAACTTACTTTTTGCCCTTTAAATCCTGGGCCATGAAATTATTGACAGAAAATTAAAATTTTAAAATAAGAGTTAGCATTGAACGATCTGATAAATTAAATAAAAATACTTATATTTTGTATACTGTAAGGGAAAATAAATAATGTATTTGTATCAATTCTGATACATTAGGCATTTCTGTCCAACCTTTTATACATTTTGTGTTTACTACATGGGTCTGACTGTGTACGTACGGGTTTTCAAGAACAAAAGTATCACACTGATGATGCAGAGGTCTCAAAAACTCATGCATCAAATATGATACACTTCGCTTTAAAGAGCTCTTAGGGGTAGTTTTGCATAGTACTTTTACTAACTATGAAATATTAATTACTTGAGTGAGGTTATTGCCTGACTTCACTTAATGACGAAAAAGCTTGTTTTTAGCAGGTTATTCAGACACAGATTGTTAAAGTTTATGTTAAACTTATGATCCAGGTTTGTGTTACAAGCCTAGAATTTATGGTGTTATTTTCTATCTGCTTAGACCACTGAGTTGGTTAAAGGTCAAGAAAATGTGTAGGATACAAATTCTCTTTTTCTTTCTATGGTAAAAAAATTGTTTTTGGTGTAATGGTCAAAAATCGTTTATTTGAAGTTGAACAAACTGTCATGATTTGGAGATATTTGAGGATTTTGATTTTCTTTCATGCTTTAGTTTTCTATTACTCACTGCTACTTTACTGTGGTCTTGAAGTTTTGGTTTTTGCTTACTTTTAGAGTTTATTTCTGTTTCCCTGTTAGGTTTAGCTCTAATTCACAACCCATGTCACCTTGAGGCACTTTACACAAACATTTCAATCAAATCATGCAGACAGACTGGTTAAAAATGTATTATCTAAGGAAACCCAGTTGATTACATCAAATAACTGACTTTAAAGTATCCAAATCTCTTGGATGAGCTTGAGGCAACAGCAGATGCTTGCATTGTGTCTTTGATTCTGCTGTAATTCCCCACACTGAGCATGCTTGCAGTGACAGTGGAGAGAAACAATTTCCTTACAACATGACAGAACCTCAGAAAGAGCCGGACTTAGCATGATCAGCCCTCTGCTGAGGTCAATTGGGAGTTCAAGGAGACAGAAGCACATAAAGGAACATAGAAGCATGGATTCATACATACTATCTATGTTGTTAAAAAAACAGTAAAATTGTCAAGGTGGGGTGGAGGTTTAACAGGAGGACCCAAATGCAGACTGAAGATGAAGTGGTTTCTTGGAGATTTAACAACAAAAGTAAAACAGAAGCAAATATCCAAAACATAAATCCACAAAATCCACAAAAACTGAGAACCAGGAATACTCACAAGAGACGGGCAAAGAAATGATGACAAACCAGCCAAGAGTGACGGAACAGTAGGAGAATATATGGGAGAGAGAAACAAAGACCAGACTAATTACCAGATTGGGAGCAGGTCTGAACAGAGGCAAGAAGGGATCTAGTGAAAAGGAGACTAATACGAGAGCAAACAAGAAATATCTAAGAACTCAAATACAATAAAAAATAACTAGAACAATAAATGGAGAATAAGACCAATGAAAACTCGGAGATAAAACTTGAACAGAACCAAAACCATGACAAAAATGGTTCCATTGGTGATTCTGTTAAGGAAAGTAACACCTAAACAAATGAACTTTAATTCAGTTTTCATACAAAAAGGATGACAGAGAACATAGACAGTTATTCATGTTAAATGCTGAGCCCAGATGTAGGTCTAGGAGAGAAACGGGACTAAAGACTGAAAACAAGCCTGCCTTTTTGAATATGATGATGAGAGCAGCCCAGCTGATGCCTTCCTGCGGCAGGGTGTCGCAGCCAGACCAGGCCAGAAAAAAAAAAACACTCATGAGAAAAAGTAGAGATAAAATGAAGTTACAAGTTGAACTATCAAATAATGCAAAATTGGGGAATAGGAGTAGAATGAAGCAGAATGATGAAAATTGGTCCTCCAGCAGGCTACGCCTAAAACAGCATTACTACAATCATAGCTCAAGAAGGAATCAAAGTGGAAACAAACAAATTCAAATGTTAGTAAAAAGTAAATTTATTTTAATATTTAAATTGAAATGCAACACATTTGATGGATAGGACTCCAAAGATTGATGCTTTCAAGCTTTCATTTCTGTTAATTATGATGAGTTTCCACCAGCAGCTAATTAAAGCAGTTGTTTAAAGCATGTTTAAGTATCACATCAGACCAAAATATTTTTATAGAGTAACATGGGGTCAATGACAAGACATATTTAATTGCTTTGTTAAATATTACTCTAATACTTGTAAAAAATAAATGAATGTTTTTCTAACAAGAATAGTTTCATGTTACAAACATTTTTTCTCTATATACCTATTTTTAAGTGAAAGTTCTATGAATACTGCAGAAGGGCTGTGTTTCTCTTCGTTGGAGTGTTGCCCTTTGCATTACATCATAAAACACCTTCTGAATAACAATGTTAGTCAAAGTAATAAAAGTTTCAGGGTGTTGTATATGTTACACTGGGTTCCTCTGAGACTTCACAGATTATTACACTCCCTATTGTTCTCATCTCAGTTTGTTGTCTGCTACTTGAGGGCGTAATAATGTCTTATGTTTTTTTCCTCTATATGCAAACAATCTATTTGACTATAAGACGTTTAACTTCTAAGGATGGTTTTATAAGCTTTTGTCCTTATTGATCAGTATCATAATGTTCACAATACATTTTCACAATTGACACATAAGGCTTATTATGCTTTAATATATCCAGACCAATAATGCATGTGAAAAGCTCAGATGATTCCCAAGTAAATATCTTTCTCCCTTAAGGATTATTTTTTATTTAGTTCATATTCAATTGAGACTTTTATGCAGTACCTATTCACAGCATATAATCCCAAGATAATCAACGTTTACAAGTTTTTGCAAAGACAATTCAGTTGAGTCATACTGACCGATCCAGTCACTGATTTGCAGCATTCGCTCCGCCTGAATAAACATGTTGCTACAGTGGAGGGTTGTTTTTGTCTTTGCCTTTGCCACAATTCCTCATACTGAGCATGCATGTAGTGACAGTGGGAAAGAAAACTCACCTTTAAAAGGAAGCACATATAAATGAACATAAGAGCTTTGGCTGCTTCATTACACAACCATAGAGTTTCACAGAAACTCCACCCCTTTCTTCTAAACAGCCTATACTTTATGTTAAAGGTTCCTTTTCACTATAGTACAGTGTTAAATTGCTCTTCACCAGTTGGTACAGGAGATTGACCCTGACACCAGTCTGCTCTCGGCCACCTTAGAGCACATTGTTCTCTGCTCGGACACCCCTATAAAAAGTTTCTGGCTAGGTCACTGCTCTTCACCCCTACAATTTATAAATTGCCATAGTATTCCTAAATGATATGAAAGAGATGA